GCTGAGTGACGGACGGACCGACGGACCAACAGACGGACGGACGGACGGGGATGAGACGGCAGGGCTTAACTGCGGCCGGCGTCCGTTTGTTTCCCTTATTGATGTGTCCGTCCGTCCGTCTGTCCGCCGCCGGTCGTCCGGGAGGAGAGGATTCTTCATATATCTGGGCGATCATCCCCACTTAGCGATGTCGTTGGCCGCCACTATCGCCCGCTTATCGCTCGCCGGCTAAGTGGGGGCCCGGACCGCGCCGACCCACGCCGAGCAGTCGCCCCGCCCCGCCCCGCCACGCCATGCCCCGCCACGCCCCGGACCAGGTCGAAGACAAAGAGCTGTCACTGCGCGGGCCCGAGTCTCCGCCGGTGCATGCAGCGCAGCGCGGTGCGGGACGGGCCGAGACGGCCGGTGCCATCCGTGGAAGTGTCGCAAAAGTAGTGGCGGGGCTGGGCGGGGCGGGGAGGGGGTCGCTGTTTTCGATGCAATCTGGACGCGCGATCGGCAGGGCTGAGTGGCATTGAATGCACGGGCCCGTAACGACCTGTAAGTGAGGTGACGGGCCGGGCTCGGGCTCGGGCCCGCTCGGCGCTCGCTGGGGACATGTGAGCGAAGCGAGTGAAGTCAAGGAGGGAATGCAATGCAGCGATGCAGCGGCCGTGGCCTGTGCGGCACGGCAGTCACTCGGCCACGACGGATCGCATCAGTTTCCCTGGACCGGCGGCGGCTGCAGCCGCGGCGAAGGAGGAGGAGGCAGCATTTCACGAATGACAATGTGCCGCACTGTGGGAAATAAATATATAATGACGATAATGAGTAGGCGGTGGCGTCGCGTCACTTGCTGCTGGGCAAAACTCCAAATGCCGACTGGCGGGCCGAGTATCGGGGCTGCTGAAGTGATAAAGCTCACTCGTAACGGGATGCAAGGTAAAAACAATATCTCATTTTTTGAGGGAAGTGGGAAAACTTTGAGAAACTCGCTTGGGTTGAGGAAGGCTCCTCAGATTTTCGAGGTCTCCTCAAAAAATGTGGGGGTTTTCGTTATTTTTTGAGGGGGTTCTTTATAATCTGAGGTGAAATCTGAGGAGTTTTCCTCAAATACGGAGGGCCCTCGAAGTTTTCCCTTTTCTGTCAAAAGATGAGACATTGCCGTTGCAGCGTGCACCCGTGCTGTGTTTTGATGGATATCGCAAAATAAAAATGTAGTACGAGTGCACTCTGCCACTCGCGCGGCACTTGTTTGTTAAAAGTATGAACTAGAAAGTTGGTTACCGTACTAAAGCAGAACGTAAAGTTTGCCACTTGCGACTGGCGAACCGCTCTACTCAAATTGGCAGAGTACTAACGCATAACGAAAATCCCTGCGTGTGCCTTTTCTTTTGCCCCTTTTTTTCCGGCGGCTGCAGTCAGGGTGGTAGGGGGCTGTTGTCAGCCGATGAGGGCAGACCCTGCAGGCGAGGGGCCGCGAGCAGACGACATTGGTTGAAGTTGAGCATCGGAAGTCGATCAGGATTGAACACGGGCAAACAACACCAGCGCTGAGCCGTCGTGACCTGCACCGCTCTGTCTCCCTGCCTTCTCTTTCTCTCTCTCTCTTCCTCCTATTGCCCTCCCCGCCTCTGTCCCTCGGTCGCTCTCTCCCCTCCCCTTCTCTACCCTCCTCCGCTCTCCTCCGCTCTCTATCTCCCCGTAATGCCATTCCAGGTGACCCGTTGCTTATCACGTGCTGGTGGTCTCTCTCTTTAAAAGGTTACGTCGCTTCGGTGCCCACCACCGGATGGGCTGCTGGTGGGCTGGACTGGCTGGACCGCCATTTGCTCCCCCCCCCCCCAATCCTCCCCAAATGGCAACATGAAGAAGCAAAAATTCATCGTGATTATACTTACGTCGCGCGGTGAAAATTTCGGCGAGAATTATCGACACCATATCTCTTTCGCTCTCCCTCCCGCGGCGGCGGCGCGAATTTCAAGGCGGCTGTGGTCCGCTGTGCTGGGCTGTGCTGGTGGTGCGGTGCGGTTGTGTGGCCCGGCGTTCATTAATTGCAATAAATGCCCTTGTCCGACAGCCTTTTTAAATTAAAAGTCGTGCGCCGCATCTCTCTCTCTCTCTCTCTCTCTCTCTCTCTCTCTCTCTCTCTCTCTCTCTCTCTCTCTCTCAGGTTTCCTGCCCCGTCTCCCAGATACAGTGTATCACGCCGTTAGCGAACCTCCCCACAGCCAGGGGTTGAGCGCGGCTGCACGGCGGGT